CAAACTCCTGACCTCAGATGATCCGCCCACCTCAGCCTCCCAAAGTTCTGGGATTACAGGTGTGGGCCACTGCACCCAGCAAGTTATTGTGTTCTTAATTTCACATTAGTTGAAATTATTCCTTTCTGTGTGGCTAATCTATTAACTAGAAATACAATTCAGTATATTTCCTTTTTTTTTTTTTTTTTTTGAGATGGAGTTTTGCTCTTGTTGCCCAGGCTGGAGTGCAATGGCGCGATCCTGGCTCACTGCAACTTCCACCTCCCAAGTTGAAGTGATTCTCCTGCCTCAGCCTCCCCAATAAGTGGGATTACAGGTGCCAGCTACCACACCCAGCTACTTTTTGTATTTTTATAGAGACGGGGTTTCACCATGTTGGCCAAGCTGAACCCCTGACTTCAGGTGATCCTCCCTCCTTGGCCTCCCAAAGTGCTGGGATTACAGGCATGAACCACCGTGCTCAGCCTCAGTATATTTCTTTAATTTTGATTTTAGGGATTCCTTTTTTACATTTTTAATTTTGTTTCATATACATGTAGAACATTTATATGGTACCCAAATCAAATCTTCAAAACAAAATAATTCAGAGGAGTCTAGCTCCTACACCCATCCCTTCCATTCTGTCTCCTCCTCTTCATGAAGGTGAACATTGCTTTCCCTTAGGGTTTTTTTTTTTTTTGAGACAGAGTCTCACTCTGTTGCCTAGGCTGGAGTATGATCACAGCTCACTGCCTCTACCTCCTGAGCTCAAATGTTGCTCCCACCTCACCCTCCCAAGGAGCTGGGACTACAGGTGTGTGGTACCACACCTGGCTAATTTTTAGATTTTTTTTTTTTTTTTTTTTTAAAAGGTGGGTTCTCCCTATGTTGCCCTAGTCTAGAACTCCTGCCCCAGCTTCCCAAAATGTTGGGATAATGGACATGAGCCGCTACACCTGGCCTTTTTTTCCCTTGAAATTTGTTTTCACCATTCTTAAACTTGGCTGAAACACCTTCGTTTTTTATTCTCCTGTGGGAAAATATAAGAAAATGTGTGTGTGTGTGTGTGTATACACATACACACTTATGTTCATAAATTCCCTTTTCTAAGATAAAAGGTAGCAAATCATATTCCTTATTGTGTACCTTGCTTTTTTCACTTAACAACATATTCTGGAGATTACAGCAGTTCACCTGTCTTTATATAGTTACATAGTACTCTATCATGTGAATGTATCATAATTTATTAACTAAGTCCCCTCTTGATGGATATTTCGATTGTGGTAGAGAGATCTGAGATTAAAAATTATGTTTGAAGGGCCTATGGTGGGAGGGAGAGCCGTGGTAGAAAACGGGACTGCAGAGACAGGCATGGGTCAGTCTATACAAAGACTTCTTGGCCTGTGAGGTTCTTATTACTGCTCTACCAAGAGTGGAAGGCTATGGAAGTATATTGAGCAAGGCTGTGACATGATTAAATTTGCATTTTGAAGAGATCACTTTTACTACTGCATAGAATATGGATTACAAAAGAAAAGAGTGGGTATAAGAAGATAAATTAGAGGCCGGGTGCAGTGGCTCACACCTGTAATCCCAGTACTTTGGGAGGCCGAGGCAGGCGGATCAGGAGGTCAAGAGATTAAGACCATCCTGACCAACATGGTGAAACCCTGTCTCTACTAAAAATACAAAAATTAGCCAGGCGTGGTGGTGCGCACCTATAGTCCCAGCTACTCGGGAGGCTGAGGCAGGAGAATCACTTGAACCCAGGAGGCGGAGGTTGCAGTAAGCTGAGATTGCGCCACTGCACTCCAGCCTGGTGACAGAGCAAGACTCTGTCTCAAAAAAAAAAAAAAAAAAAAAAAAAAAGAAGGAAAGAAAGAAAGAAAATAAATTAGAAAACCATTGCAATATTGCAATAGCCCGGGTAAAAGACGGATAGCAGCTTGGATTGCGAAAGATAGTGAAATGGAGAGAAAGGAAAAGATAAAAGAGATTTAGAAAAGAAAATTGGCTACTTGGTGACCCATTGCACCTGAAGATGAGAGAGAGAAAGAGTATCAAGGATGACTTCTGGGTTTCTGAATTTTGCACCTGGATTGGTGGTTTGCTATTTATGGAGACAGGAAATCCTAGGAGAGGAGCAAGATAGTAGGTGATGATTATGTGTTAAATTTTGAACATGTTAAAGTAGAAGTACCTTTGAGATGTCTAAGTGTCAATGTATCTGGAACTCAGAGGAGGGGTTAGGGCCAGGGCTTTGTGTTAATTCAGGCTAGTCCTTTGGTGTTCAGAACTGGCCTGAATCCCTAGACCATTTCTGAAGATCAAAGGACTATCCTGAATCTGCGGGAAGATTGGATGTAGTTTATTCCCCCAAATATGAGAATTTTGGCTATGGGAATAGCCAAACAGGCCTAGGGTATAGCCATTGGAAAATAGCCCCCTCCCCTCACCAAAATCTGTCTTAATATATTTATAATATATGAACACTCTGCAGCTTACCTATAGTCTACAAAATTCCTACCTTGCCCGTTGCAATGTATTTGACAGCTCACGCAGTGCTCTTATCCCTGTGATCTCAGTTTAATTCTCTCAACATTGTTGTGAGGTAGCCTGGCCCCAGTTCTCTCTAGCCCGCCCCCTGGCCCAACTCAGCCCAGGTCCAGGCCTCCCCACACTCCCACATCCCTGACCCTGTCCCTGACAGTTCTCCTCAGGCTGGTGTCACTCATGGGCCACACCGTGTTTGAGTCAGGGCATCTCCAGGATAATTCTCCCCACATTCTGGTTGACCTCCATGTGAGAGTGGGCCTTCTGAATCTCAGCCATGGCAAAGACTTTATCAGTAACAGGCTGCAGCTGCACAGCACTCCCAGGGGAGAAGTGGGCCAGGACTTGCTCCATGAAGGTCTTTACCAACATTTCCTTATACTGAGGCAGAGAGAACAGCCCATTAACAGGATAAGGATGAGGTCTCCTTGGCCTCATACATCTTTGAGGGGAAAATCAGGACATGCCTGGATGGCCCTGGTACTAGCCTTGACTCAAAGAGATCAGACCAAACCATGGATGAGGAAAGGTCATTTATCAGTCTAAATTCCCTTGGACACTGGAACCCCTGGAATATCAAGGGACCCTGCCACCCCCCAAATCTCCAAAAGCATGGGAGTCTCAATACGAATCCTGAACTTGGAAGAGAGGAGGAGTAAGTCCGAGTCAAATGAGGAAGTAGGTGGCGGAAATGAGACTTCTGAGGGAGGAAGGGTCAAGCTAACCCTTAGGTTCCCACCCAGAGGAAGGAGAGCTGGCAATGTCAGCAAAGCTTCATAAGCAGGAATTCTATAAGCCAGGGCAGGTCAGAGTCATAACTCAAGAGCAGTGCCCAGAACCTGCTCAGCTCTGTCTGTCACCTACCTTCTGATCCCTGGACCTCAGCAGACTGGCCCACAGATTTCCTCACTTACACAACAGCTTGGAAAGCAGGGGTCCATTGACTTCTGCTCCCCCCATGACACCATACAGAACCCATCGGCCATCTGCAGTTAAACAGTGGAGATTCTTCTCCCAGTAGGAGCCATCAATGCAGTCAAGGATCGTGTTGACACCCACACCTTGGATAGTAGGTAGAAATGGCTTAGATATCGTGGGAAGGCAGATGCCCAAACTCCTCCCCTCTGGATCTAGTTTTGCACATTCTCCTGTGGCCCAGGAAACAAAGTGGGAAGCAAAAGCACTACTTCGGAGGCAAGGTGCACTTAGTTCTCCTGGAGAGCTGAGGGAGAAGTGCTAAGCCATGTGGCTTTCAGAAGACCTCAAGCTAAGGAGATATGTCTCATGATAGTTCCAAACATCGACTAACACAACCTTGAGTACTTTCTCTGGAGAGCAAAAGTATTGTTCTCCTCTGAAAAGTCAGTAGGCTTCCTCCTTAATCACCTCCTTTTTTGGTAATTAAAGCTATGTAATCACCTTGGGTACTGGAGCCCCTGGAGCTTCAAGGAACTCCCCAAATCTTTTTTTTTTTTTTTAGATAGTCTCAGTCTGTGGCCCAGGCTGGAGTGCAGTGGTATGATCTCAGCTCACTGTAAGCTCTGCCGCCCAGGTTCAAGTGATTCTCATGCCTCAGTCTCTTGAGTAGCTGGGATTACAGGTGTGCACCACTACATCTGGCTAATATTTTATTTTTAGTACAGACAGGGTTTCACCATGTTGGCCAGACTGGTCTCAAACTCCCAACCTCAGGTGATCTGCCCACTTCAGCCTCCCAAAGTGCTGGGATTACAGGTGTGAGCTACTGCGCCCAGCCACCCAAATATTTTTTTAACTCATCCTCACCATGGTTGAGATCCCTCAAATCTTTACAAGTATGAGAGTCCCAATCATTCTTCTTTCTCCTCCTCCTCCTCCTCATTTTCCTTCTTCTTCCCCTTTCCCTTCTCCTTCTCTCCTACTGTTCCCCCTTTCTCCTCCTCTTTCTCCTCCTTCTCCTCTCTCTTTTTCTTCTCCTTCTTCTTCCTTCTCTTCCCCTTCTTCTTCTCTCTTCCTCCCCCTCCTGCGCTGGGCATCCAGAAAGCTCAGAATCATGCATAATACTTGCTCACAGTTATTGTACTAACCTTTATGATGAACATGTTTTTTCTTCTTTCCTTGGTACATATTTTCTAGTTCTAATTAATAATTTTGCTTCCATTGGTTAGACCATCTTCAGGCTTTGTGAAAGATACAGTAGAGAGTGGGGATTGTAAAGGAGAAAGAAGAGAGAGTTGGGATGCAGAGGAGGAGATGGAAGATGTGGCAGGCAGCCTCCAGAATGGTCCCCTGATGACCCTCTACCTTCCAGTATTTACACCTTCCGGTCCCTCCCTTTGAGTGTGGATTGGACTTACAGGCATTCCTCTAATAAGAAGGATGTGGCAGAAGTGATGGGATGTCACTTCCAAGATTAGGTCACCAAAAGGTGGTGGCTTCCCTAAGGGACATGGGATACTTTCTTTCACTCTTGCTTGCTCTCTCTGAAGGAAACCACTGGCCATGTTTCATGCTGCCCTACGGAGAGGCTCATATGTCAAGGAACTGATGTCTCTGGCTAACATCTGACAAGAACCTGAAGCCTGTGACAGCCATGAGAGTGAACTTGCAGGCCGATTGCTCCCCAGGTGAGCCTGGCAATGACCACAGGCCTGGCTGATGCCTTGGGAGAGACCTGGAGCTGAAGGACCCAGCTGAATTGCTCCCAGATTTCTGACCCACAGAAATGGTGGGGATAATAATATGCATTGTTTTAAGCCACTAAGTTTTGGGTAATTTGTTATGCAGCAATAGATAGCTACTAATAGAGGAGAGAAAGGAGGAGGAAAGGTTACGAAGGGGAGAGGATAGGATAAGAGAGGGAGGGGGTTACTGTAAGGGAGAGGATAGATAAGAGAGGGAGGGTTGGAAGCCAGGGAGCCAGGATCAGCTGGCTCTCCTCCAAACACACAGGCCCATGCACAAAGTAATACACACGCATGCACACACTTCTCCTAACACACAGGCCCAAAGTGCGCACACACACACACACACCCTCCAAACACACAGGCCCCTTACACTTCTCCTTAACAACATACAGGCCCGTATGCACAACACACACCATCTTCCAAACACAGGCCCAAACACACACGACACCCTGCAAACACACAGGCCCATACACACATACCCTCCAAAGACACACACACACACACCCTCCAAACACATGGACAAAACCTCCAAACATACACACACACACACACACACACACACACCCTGTGTGGCCTTCAGAGCCCCCTCAGAGAAGCCCTGCTTCTTATAATTGAACCCAGCTGCAGCACCCAGCCTCTCAGCTTCTGCGCCATTTGAATGTTCTCCTTGGAGCTCATGGTCACCAGGGGGGACGGTGTTGAACAGCCTGGTCGGCTGGATGACAGCTGTGCCCACACCGCCCATGCTGGCATGGATAAGCATGGTCTCCCCCTCTTGCACTCCTGTAGCAACAACACCAGAGCATCCTGAGCCAGTGAGGGCGTGGGGATGGGAGGGCGCAGGGTTGGCTTTGGAAACATAAACTCTCTGTGCCCTGAGGGTATGAGGAGAGACCAGGTTGAAGGTCATGGGGCCTGAGTCATGGAGGGTGCTGAGCGTGAGGAGCCATCGGAGGTTTTATAGTAGCAGGGGCCTTGGCCAGGACTGGGCTTGGGCAAGATTAATCCATCGAACAGGGTGGGTTGAGTGTCACAACTGTCCTGAAGGCAGCTCCTGAGCCAGGGTTAGAAGTGTCCAGAGCTCCTGGGATAGGGTGCCTTGGCTTTCAGACCTGGGCAAGATTAATCCATCGAACAGGGTGGGTTGAGTGTCACAACTGTCCTGAAGGCAGCTCCTGAGTCAGGGTTAGGAAGTGTCCAGAGCTCCTGGGATAGGTTAGAATCCAGAGCTCCTGAGCCAGGGTTGAACTGTCTGCAGGAGCTTCTCCTGGGACAGGGTTAGAACTGTCCAGAGCTCCTGAGCCAGGGTTAGAAGTGTCCAGAGCTCCCAGAGCCAGGGTTAGAACTGTCTAGAGCTCCTGGACAGGGTTGTGAACTGTCCAGAGCCTTTTGTTTCAGGTTAGGGAACTGTCCACAGAGCTCCTGGGAGCTAGGGTTAGGAACTGCCCAGAGCTCCTGGCCAGGTTAACCGTCCAGCTCCTGAGCCAGGGTTAGAACTGTTCAGAGCTCCTGGGGACAGGGTTAGAACCAACCATGCAGACCCTGAGCCAGGGTTAGAAGTGTCCAGAGCTCCTGGGATAGGGTTAGAACTGTCCAGAGCTCTTGGGATAGGGAGGTCCCCAGGCCACATGTCTGGTCTACTCTGATACCTTTTTGTGTGAGAAATTAACCAAGAGTATCTCCTCCACTGCCTGTGAGGGACCTAAGCAGAAGGACTGAAGGACAGTTTCCTCCCCTCTGGGGATAGGACAAGCAGCTGGAACTGCTCTGAGAACCTTGCTTTTGCCTCATATTGGTCATAAAACTGCCCATAGGCTGGGTGTGGTGGCTCACACCTAAAATCGCAGCACTTTGGGAGCCGAGGAAGGAGGATTGCTTGAGACCAGGAGTTTAAGACCAGCCTGGGCAATATAAGGAGACCACATCTCTACAAAAAATTAAAAAATTAGCTGAGCATGGTGGTCCACATCTGCAGTCCTAGCTACTTGGGAGACTGAGGTGGGAGGATCACTTGAGCACAGGAGGTCAAGGCTACAGTGAGCCATGATTGCACCACTGCACCCCAGCCTGGGCAATAGAGTGAAATCGTGTCTCAAAAACAAAATGAAACAAATAAAAAACTGCCTGTAGTTGTCTCCATGGGGGTCATGTCTGGGCTAGCTCTGGGATTAGAGGTTAGGGCATGTCAGGGTGTTGATGGAAGGCTCACATTTTCAGGGCCAGCAGATGCATGGTTTGGGGTCAGCAGTTGGCCTCAGGTGACAGGGCGGGACTAGTGGGAGGGGATCTCTACGGGGTAGGGTTCCTCCTCACCCACACAGTGCAGCAGCTGGAAGGCAGTCAGCCAGGCCTCCGGGATGGCTGCAGCTTAGGGCAGGGTCAGTCCCTCTGGGATAGGCATGAGGAGCCCTTCAGGGACAGTGACGTACTGAGCCTGGCCCCCACCGGGCAGCAGAGCCATGGCTGCGTCCCCAATCTTCCAGTGTCCCCGGCAGCCAGGCCCCAGTTTTGCCATGTGTCTAGATGCCCAAAATGTTGCTTTGTTGCTGGCTTCTGGGGGCGGGGAATACTGGCCTGTCTCTGTAGAGGGAGGGGCTCACAGTGAGTGAGTATGATAAGAGGGGTTAAATGTCAGTCCTCCCTGTTGCTGGAGAGAGAAGGTGGATTTTGGCTTGGAGTCTACTGCAGGTGGGAGTAAATTCTAGGGTGGGAGAAAATTCAGATAGTCTCCAAATAACAGTAATTACAGAAACAACTTCATCCCGGAGACAGCCCATCTGGGAGGTCTCCCCTGTCACTCCCCTAGCCTGGCAGACAGTGCTGTGAGTCAGGGGGCTGAGGCAGCTGGGAAGAGGCATGGAGTGCAGCTTGCTGAGGTCTGAGACCCTGAGAGGTGGGGCTGGCGAGGGGACATCCTGCCATCTCAGCCCTTGTTTCTCCTACTCTGAACTCAGCTTCCACAAGAAGGTGGGCTATCATGCCGTCTTTACCAGCTAGAAACTGGATCTGCAACAGGGACGTCACACAAACTGGCTCTCTGATTCTCTCTAGCCTGGATGAAGGGGAGTCAGGAAGGGTGCTGGCTTGGCTCTGGGGCACAGGGACTCAGACCACGGCTTCCAAGGGGCTGCATTCATTGCTGCCTGACCCAACCTGGGACTTGGATCAGAACAGGCTCCAAATAAAGGGGCCTGGGACCCTCTGCTCTCACACTTCCCAAGTGCACACTAATCCCTTTCTTCCTGAGAGCCAGCTGTCTGGACTTGGGAGCCAAATGGATCTGGGTTCAAATTCTGTCTCTGCCATTTATTCAGTCTTATATCAAATACTACACATGCTTACTATGTGTCAGGCCCTGTGGTAGGCAGAGCAGATTGCTTCTGTCCTGGTGGAACTTACAGTCTAGTGGGGGAAGACAGACTTTAAAGAAGTACACACACACACACGCACACATGCACACGCACGTACACACACGCACATACACACGTGCACACATAATCACATACACACGCACACACACAAACCAGATTTGTGGGAACTAACTGGCTGCTATGAGAGAAGAAGCCAGACATACAAAGAATGATTGAAGGGCATCCCAGGGAGAGGGAAGGGCAAGCTCAGGGCAGGCAGGCACGTGGAGTGCGGCTGGAGGGTGCTGAGCAAGGCACAGGAGCTACTGCTCAGGGGGAGGAGGTGTCAGCAGCCCAACCAGCAGGGCCCCATAGCGAGCAGACAGTTTCCATTTCGTCCTAAGTGCGTGGCCATCTCTCTGGGGGTCGCTCTGGCTGCCATGTGGAGAGGGGGCTGAAGGAAGCGCTACGAGCACCCGGGTAAAATGGAACTGGTGTGGCCCTGGATGGAGCAGTGGGGATAAGAGGGCTGACTGGAGATCTTCTACAAGGGAGGCTCAGAGACCTAGGCTCATGAAGCGGATGAGGAGTGGAGAGACCTGGGGTCAATCCCTGGCTTATGCAGTTTCCCGGGCGTCATTCACACTTTCCTCATTACTGGAATGGAGACACAAGGACCCATCTCCTTGGGTGGTTGTGAGGCTCAAGTGAAAACATCCACTCAGCACAGTGCCCGGCACAGTGTGAGCACGAAACAACCCGCAGCACCTCTCCTTGCTGATGTCTGTGCCCACTCTCCCAGCATGGCCCCAGGGGTGGGGCTAGGTAAGGGGGTGTCCCCGGCCGGCTCTGAGGGCACAATGGCAGGTGCTGCAGTCCTGCTCCTGAATCTGACACAGACACCAAGAACCCATGCCATCCATCTAGCCATGCTGGCCCAGCTCCGCCCAGCTCCCTTCAAAACTGGCTGACGATCAGTCAGTTCCTGACCCAAGCAGCTCTGCCCCAGGAGCAGGCCCTGGTCCCTAGTGCCCCACCCCACAGTGACTGGGTACCTGCAGTAAGTCCTCGCGGTTCAAGGCGCTAACCGCCACCTTTAGGAGGACTTCACCCTCCCCCAGGTTCGGCTTGGTCACCTTCTTCACGTAGAGGTTTTCCGGTCCTCCTAGCTTGTCAAAATGCACAGCCAACATTTTACATGAGGACACGGGAGTGGAGGGATGGAAGAAAGGCATGAAAACTGGGACAGATTTGAAAGGAACCCCCTTCTCCAAATTAGGATCTCCAGAAATCACCCGTCTCCACCTCCTGTTCTCTGTCTGCCGCCCCTCACCGTCCTCACTGCCCGTCTGGCTTCCCTAGCTACATCCCCAGCCGTTGCTGCTCCCTGTGTCTTCTCTGGCTGTGAAGAGGGATTTGTGGAGCGGCTTTGGAATGAAAGAAATCGAGATTCACGTCTTAGGCAAGAATGGGACTAAAATATTATTACATAATGTGCTGTCCCGGGCCCAGGCAGAGCAGGGCCCGCAGACGGTCCCTCTCCCAGGGAGTTAGCCCACCTTTCCGGGGCTGGTGGCTCTGAGAGCACGGGGATGCCCAGCCCAGGAGGACGGAAGCCCCACCTGGAGCCATCCTGCTGGGGTCTCCCTCCCTCCGTCAGCACTGGGGTGCCTGCACTTCCTGTCTCGGTGCTGCCTGCCCCTGCAGGCCTGGCTCAGGGAGGGACT